TCCATTGTGCGTTATCGTTGACTATCAATCAGTTTTTCGAACAATCAGATGAAAGAATGTCATCATTACCGTCTGCTTTGGGCATTTTCCCAAATGATTCAATTACGCTCCAGCTTGATGAAAGGATAGTGACAGAAATGAAGTAAGAAATTAGCAATGACGTATGTTTATACGGTATTGCGCAAGCTTTTCTTTCCTTTCTTCGTTTCGTCAGTATGTTGAAATAAGGTGGGTAACTCACACAAAAGTATAAAATGTTTTGTATTGAAAAACTATCAGTTTATTTTCACATCAAAACACAACTGCCATTTATACGTATACGATTTTTCAATGACAGAAGTATTATATACATCATTGAATAATAGGCCAGAATTTAATGGTTCCATGGAAATGGCAAAAACTATGTCTGATATTATTGAAAATATCTGTTGCAAAGTGGACTCCGCAAATGGTGACATGAAAGAACCGCCGTTGAAAAAACTTAAACCTTTAACTAACGATCCATCTTGTTCACTTGAAGAGCGCATGAGATCGATTTTATCATGTTGTATTTGTTTGAATCTATCCACATTACAGATGCTCCAGTGTGTCAATGGTCATTTGATGTGTGCTTCCTGTTTCTACCATCTTTTAGCCGATTGTAATTTCAAAGATCAAGAATCGCTTTGCCCCAATTGTCGGTGTAAAATTTCGAAAAATGAATGCGCTCGAAATCTGCCAGTGGAAAAGATCATTTTGGAGTTGCCGATGACTTGTGCTTATTGCTTGCATACATATCTCGGTCGTGAAATCAAATATCATGAATCAGAAACGTGTTCAAAACGACCGACCATGTGTGAATATTTTTTACTCGGCTGTGATTGGACAGGTCCTTTTCACTCTCTGGCATCTCATGGGACTACTTGTGAATATCCGAAGAAAACCGGTCAACAATTGTTGGATACAATTCGAGTACGAAAACAAGCATATGACGCAGAAAAAAAATGTCTGCAAACTGCTTTTGACCTACTCTCGCTCAATGAAATCGAAGTCAACGATCTCGTTCTAAAATCAATGCGTACGGATGATTTTACTGCTAAGCTCTACTTTGAAACGGGACGTTTTACGGCTCTAGAATGCGAATGGAAAGTACGTGCATGTATCAACGACAATGAGTCAAATCCACATGTGACAGCCACACGGTGGTTAAGCTATCAACTTGTGCTCAAATCAAACGTTAGTGAAACAATCAATTTGAAGTTTTTCATCACCAAAGGGTCCCATAGTGATCCATCAACTTTGCAAATATTACCTGTAGTATATCATTTTGAATTCAACCAAGACAAGACCGAAACCGAATTTTTCAAGTTACCAATTAGCTCGGAAGAATGCAATCGAATTTTATCGTTGCTACCGATCAAACTTCGACTCTGGCTAGTGCGTGTAATCCCAAAAGATGCTTTGTAAAAAGAGCTTTGCCTATTTTCACTATGCTTAAATAGAATACATTTATTTATTTATTTGGTTGTACAGAAATGTATGTATTTTTTATTTAGAAATAAAAAGCTTGTTAATAGTTTGAAATAGTAACTTTGATCATAATTTGTACTTTGATAAGTAAATTACAACATCAAATAGTTTGTGGAAGTAATTCATAAGTGTTTTAATTTTTGCTAATATCTAGCACTGCTATCGAGACTACGCTGCTCGTTTTTGAAAGGAAACAGTGCGTGATGCTATCAACAGTTCAGCTAATTGCCTTTTCTGTTGCAGACGTCGGCTACCATGATGAGCCATTTTCTCAGGTATTATGCTACGTGAAGAAGATCGATTATGTCATATTCTTGTTTTTCAATCCATAGGTTCATACTTTCGAGATAATTCATTCTTTGTCTTCCTTTGTCTTTCTTCCCATAGATCTTACGACTCAATACTTGGTGTCCCAAGAAACCTTTTCGGATTACATGACCAATGAATTTCAATTGTCTACACTAGATGGTATTCAATAAAAATCGTTTCCATTTCATTATTCCCATTATCGACTCATTGCTTTCTCTGACTGTCCAAGATACACCCAGCATTTTTCTTAGGAACGACATCTCTGTAGCTTCTAAACGATTTTCCACTTCCTTGTTGATTGTCCAACACTTAGATCTATAAAGGAAAACGGACCACACATAACATTTGAGGACCCTTGTTTTAGTGTTGATAGATATGGTTCTGTTTTTCAGAACTGGGGTCCTTTTTTGGAATGCTTGTTTGGAGAGGACAATTCTCTTTTTGATCTCTTCATCACATCTTCCATCTGATGTTATGGGTGTGGGTGTGGGTGTGGGTGGGTGGATGTGGGTGTGGGTGTGGGGTGTGGATGTGGGTGTGACACTCAATCGCAGTCATACCCAAACCCCCATTCGTACTCACACCCACACCCACACCCTCAAGCTGACCTTCTCACTTGTTTCTCTAATAAAAAGTCAAAAAAAACGAAAGAACAGTTAAATAAAAATATTTCTTTATTTTTTATTTCTAAGTTGTAACTCACAAATTTTCATTGAAGTTAGGGTTTCAATTATAAATCTGTATGAAACAAAGTGTTTTCAATTCGACTGATTATGTCTGTCCATTTTCCTCCTGAGATCTTCAAGCTATTCGCTAACGTAAGATGAATATCATCATTACTAATTTCTGTTGAATGAAGTCGTATCAGTTTTCCCCACTCAATATAAAGCTTATGCCTCTCTGCTGTCACACTTTGATTTGAATTTAGTGGACTATCAGATAAATTGTCAGATGACGCGATAATGACAGCGTGTGTATTTTTGTTTTGCACGGTAGTGGTAGTTTTTTTTGTTTTTCTTTTCAAATAAATTGAGATTCTAATGACAGAGTACGTCAAAGATAAGAAAAGTTACCCGCGGGTATTGGAATGGATAAGAATATTCGAAGAGTTTTTCCCATTGGATTATAAACATCAGAGGAATTGATTTTGTAGTATCTGTAAGACTCAAAATGAATCACGATAATCAACTAAATACCACTATAATATAATACTTTCAATTACGATATTTACTTCCTTACTTCATATAAACCTCATTGTAGAAGTGCTGCTTTCTTTTAGTTTTCTATAACATATACATGTATATGTCAACATGGAATCCATGACTACTGTCCTCCCCCTCCCAGAAAGTTGTTATCCGAATATCTCCTGCTCAACAAGCACTTTGTTAAAATGCTTAAACAGTTGAACTATAAATATATATATTCAGATCAGATACAAATATCACCATCATTCACATTCTCATCCTCGTCCTTGTCCATAATCTCATTTTGCCTTTCATTATTATTCTTATTCCTATAATCTTCAATATGGCGGAGAAAACTCTTGTGAACCTTGCTGTTGCGAAAAAAATATAATGGAAGGAAGTTTGAACGTTCCATATTACCGTCAAAATAATTTCATATTTATTATCCTTTGTGTTCATCAAAACCATTTCTCTTGTTTTTGGAATTGTACACTATTGCCCGTTTTTCATTATGAAAATTTTACAGCTGCAAATTGGAAAGAATTTGTGCAAGAATTGTAAACGACAAAATAAATTTGTTTGTTCTCTCTATATGACGTCTTTCCAATCCAATCTTTTGAAGTGGAAACTCTCACTACTATATCGGTTTTAAGTCCCATCACTTTATCTCCCTGATCTTAGCTAAAAATAAAAACTAATGATGTCTAGACAAGTATTTTCATCAAAATAATTTTTTTGGCGCTTTACTCTTCTTATCGGAACACAAAACTAGAGGATGATGCTTTGATAAGTTTCCCCAAAATCATCATTTGATCTCTAGTGCAGAATCGAAATTTTCTCGAAAATAATCGGTTGTTTAATGAAAAATTGACAAGTGCATTTTCCATGAAAATTTCGAAAAATGTTGTGTAGTAAGAAACATTGTCACGAGCTTTTCGACACGTTGCTAGTACTTTCGAACCAATATTCTTTTACCAAAAGATATGCCTGTCGATGCTCTACGAAAAGATGTAAAGTCTACTTTAGGCTCTCAAAAAAATAACCATGTAATATAAACAAAAAAGTAAAAAAAAACAGCATATGAAATATAGCAAAAAACAATTGGTTTTATCTACTACAATGAGTTTCTATTCTTTTTAACCGGAATAATGGTATGTAAAAAGTGCAGGGCTTTTGGTAGAGAAGCTTCTGCCCTAGCGATTGATATAATTTGATAGTGGTTTTTATCAAGTTTTTTGTGATGAAAAACTTCAAAAACTATTGATTTTGACATAACGATATTTTCGGTTAAAATATTTCGATTGATAAAGTACTAGAAAACTTTGCTCAAAAGTTGTAAAAATTTGCCTTTCTAACTAACTTTTTTATGTTCTTTCGAACTGCTGAAGCCATTTCAAAATGTAAAATTTTTCGGTACCCAATTTGGGCGGTAGTTCCTGGAGTCTCTCTTAATCATTAAAATAAATGAATACTTCAGCCGAAATTAATAATTCCTTCTGACGAGTCATCATTTGAGCAACAAGTTCACAATCATTCTTTTTGAACGAAAATTTATATGAACCATATCCAGAACCATATGATTTGATTGTCAAAATATTTTAAAAATATATATGCAGTTAGTTTTAAAAAGATAAGATTTTCTTACATCATTTTGTAATAAAATAATATTTTTATTTCCCAAGTAAAATAAGATGTAAATGATTAAATAAGAAAATTTATCTTCGATATAATGAGGATTCATCTCGAGAAGTGTTTTAAATGAAAAATGTTGTTGTTTATCAACAGATGAGATATGTAAATGTGCTATAATTTAGCGATTAATTGGTAATTGATATATATTTATCTGAATATTTAAAAGCAAATAGGCTTACTCCTGTTGTAGCACAAGTAACAATCGATGAATTTATAGGATTCCATTGTACAGAAGATATTAAATTGGTTGCTGTATAACTTAAAAATCAAAGTACGAGAATAAATAGAAGGAGCAAATTGTTTTTCTTATCTCAAATAAACATGATGAGTTATTCGATCAACAAAAACTAATTTCATATGACGATATGTAATGATAAAAAAGTTTTTAGTTGGAGAATATTTGATTAAATCAATATACTAAAATACAAAATTATTTGTTCTTTTAAAATATTATTTTAATATAGCAACAAACTTCTTTAATTGTATTATCTTCATAAACTTTCTCTAATTTCCAATTGTTGGTTTCATAAAAAAAAATCGAATTTTTAACTGGAATTGCAAGCACCTAAATTTATAAATGAAATAAATATTCATTTTGATAAGAATAAAAATAGTTACATCTTCAAATGGATTCCAAGCAATTTTAACAAATGATTTAGCAACACTAAATTAATTTTATTCTTTTATTTGAACAAAATCAATAAATTGATTTGACTTACTCAAGATCAATTGATTCTTCAATCACATATAACTCTTTTATTAATGTTTGTTGATTTACACTATAAACACGTATAAAAGCATCAATTGATGATGTTGCCTAAATGTATTCAAGTTTTTTAAAAATAAAACCAAGGGGGAAAGAGCAGATTTTAGGACTTCAAAACACTTGAACGATTCCAACCATAGAGACTTCAAATCTTTATAGGACTTCTAAAGACTTCAGAAAACTTTAAAAGATTTCATTAGATTTCGACCATAGAACAAGGGGAAACAGTGGACACTTCAGCCATGAAGTCTCATGAAGTCCCATGAAGTTTCTTGAAGTCTTGAAGTTTGTTGCTTCTCCCTTGCCATACAAAAGAAGAAGAAAAAAAAGACTTCTAAAGACTCCACAAGACTTCAGAGTACTTCAAGAGACTTCATCGTACTTCATGATTGAAGTCTCATCTGTTTCCCCTAGAATAAAACATGAATTTATTATATTATCACTAAATTATTTTCATCATTAACATCAATTGCAAGAACAGCAGCTCGATATGGGTGTGGGTGTATGGAAGCGTCGGTGTGAATGAATAATAGATCTACACCCACACCAATCCCCACATCCCGCTCACACCCTCTGCTTTTGTGATTTGCTGCTTTAACTATTTACTATTTCAGTGAAATAAAAACTTTTTTTCCTCATAATGTAACTTGATAGTTAATTTTATACAATTATGAGAAAAAGATTAATAACAATAATGATTAATAATATTTGTACAAAAAAAAAAAAATTTTATTAGATTCATCATAATTGAAAATGGTTTTTGTCAGATTTATTTATTAAAACCACATTATAAGTCCACAACCATCATCTTCAATCGAATAATAAGGTTGTTTCTCACAAGACAACCGAACTATACGATGATATAATTGTTCTATTAATTTTATATGGTTCTTAAACACAGAATCAATGTCAAAGTCATACGATGAGCAATGTTTCCTTCGAAAGCAAAAGCCAAAATCGGTGAACACAGATGCTTTCTCTGCAATTTTCTGACAACTTCTATCATCAATAGTTTTTGGCATGTCATACAGAAATATGCGTAATGAACTCAATCGTCGCATAGTTGAAAGTGAATGGAAAACCACTGGCCAGTTTGGTGGTATATAGTTAGGATAATAATAAAAAAGTAGAATACGAATAGAACGAATAGTTGTTGGAAATGAAGAAGAATAGCTCAGACAATTGATACTATTCACAAGAGTTATATTGCGAATAGCGGATAAATATATAGGAATATGTGTATTATAGTAGGACAAGTGCAATGTTTCAATACAATTGGATAGTGCCATATAAGGTAAAGAGCATATAGGTAATGGCAACGTTTGATCTGATGTATCTAATGTACAAAGAGTTGATTGATGAATTGTCATCATTTTTTGAGGTATTTCAAACACTCGTGTTTTACTGATCCATCTGTGTGGTAAATATTCATGATAAAATTCATCAAATGCCCATGGAAGAGTATACCACATATGATGATCATATTGACGTCCACGCTTCTATAAATATTAAAAATATATTAAGATAATTATTCGATCAAGGTTAAATTAATAAGAACAAAGATATAATCAAATAATTACTCACAAAAGGATCTCTATCAGTCTCCCATTCTGATCTGTCACACCAGTAATTGACAACAAATGTTGCACCGACTATTTCTCGTGGACGAAAACGATTACCACGTGGTATATATTGTGTCACTTCTACGTATCGAGGACAATTAATGAGACTGAAGGCAAAATGAACATCAACGTGACGATGATCAGTGAAAAGTGATGATGAACTAATACAATTTAAATCACTAATATCAATAAAAATGGACACATTGGCACGCCGAAGAACAGGCATTACATTGGATGATGTCAGCATTTCGAAAAATACCCATTCAATTGTTAACATCGAGAAAAATGTTTGAACGAGAGTAAATGTATGTAAACTAACCATTCGGATTGAAAGAGGAGACGTTGATATAGGTGAACGAGTATTGAAGTCACTGTTACCTACTTTTACATGTAATTGATGTAATGTGGTGGAGAGTGGTGGTGTTGACATAAGACGAACTAACATATCCATTGTTGACACAACAATACGCAAATAGGTAAGAGAAACTATTGCAGTAGTAAAGAACCAACGTGTCCCATAATAATTCATGCCTAAGTCGAGAGATCGAAGTGCAGGTAGATGAATAAGAATAAAATTTTCTATTAATGCTTCAATGTCACCAATTGGGTATTCGAATTTAAAGGAATAACCATCCTGAAAAAAAAACAGTATATAAAAATGTCGTTGAATTCTGTATGAATCAAAGCGAATGCTAATTGAATTGATTTTAGGATTTAAAATAGTTGTTCTTTGATCAATAAATGTGAGTCATCAATGTGAAATTTCTATTCAAATAATCTCTTCAACAATAACTAACATATCTTTTGCAAATCTACGAATTCAAAAAAAAATTTTCCTCAAACAATCTGTTGTAACCTGTGGAATCTTCAGGATCACAAGGAAATTCTCATTCGATTTCATATTGTCGTTGATAGACTACTATTTTGTTCAATATTTTATCTCGCAAAAATTTCCAATATTAATAGCCAGCTCTTATTCTTCTATTAACATCTTCATGTAGTTAAATCAAGTACATTCATAGTAGATGAGAGTATAGTCAACAGCAAGAACACATTCGATGACACTAATAAAAACTGGTCCATTAGAAGTTTCAAGCAATCTATCATCAATAACAATGAATTCAGCTAATACATTCTTGACTTTTAGCTTTCAATTTTCGAGCAACATTATTCAAGTTGATCTTTATCAAACTATATTTTCTTTTCTTTATTGAGAGTTCAAATTATTTGGTAGGATTATTTTCGAATGAACTTTTCATATCAAATGAAAAAATTTTTGTATACTAACATCCCAATGAATGATGACCGATTATGACATTTTTATAGCACCATTCGGTTTTTAAATGATATAGATGACTCAGGGACATATGTATGTGTCTGTGGTATAGCTGTTAAAAGCCTCAAACTAAGTGCTTTTCTACTGTGTATTTTATTAATTCTGATAATTTCTGTGAATTTAAACTTGTCTGTATTGTCATACCCACGGAAAAATTTTTATACGAAAACCGCGGTGTCAATTCGATAACTTTTGAAAACCGCGGTTCACCGCTGTTTCTTGCACCGCGTTCACAAAAACCGCGGTGTGTGCACTCGTAACCGCGTTTTCAAATATAGCGGTTATCACCGGTTTTATAAACCGCGGCTTATTATATCATAACGGCGGTTTCACATATAACGGTTGTTAGTGGTTTTTTCCGACCCGGTGTGTGCAGTTATAAGCGCGGTTAGTTTGGTTAGGATGTATGAAATGGCTATCGATTTCAATTACACTGGCTTACGTTCAGTCATGATTTAGGTTGATTTAACAGTTGATACTTGATTGAGGTGAACTAGTTGAGTATGTGGTTTGCTTGTACCATATCCTAATGCAAATTGAGAAAGCGAAGTGATAATAAATGCCGCAGGTAACAGTTATCTGAAATCATATATTTTGGAAAAGGTATCGAAGTGAATTTAAAAAAGTAGCGTTCATGTTTTAAGAAACTTGATTGAAAGAGATAAATGTTAATCAAGACATTTCGTAATGGTTATTTTGCACAAGAGTCTTATTTCGAAAAAGTANAAAAAATTGATCTTTTCACACGGTTGACATTTTGGTCACTCAAAGTTTTGCTCATTTTGAAAACGAAAACTGCAACTATAAAACATTCGGTCTTATGTAAGTTGTAGAGCTTTTCAGACTGCATCTTGTGATATATTTTGTTTTTTTAATACAACGTATTAAATGACTGAAAATTGAAATACCAAGTGCAGCCATATAATCTGCTTCACCCGATATTTTTTCTACATATAGAAAAAGACTAATTTTTTGTATTTCAGTTAGATATGGATACCTTTGAAGGGAGCTTTTGAGGTTTGTTCGTGTAAATAAAAACTCGATGTATACCTGTATCATTTAAAAACAATTAGTAGTTGATAAGATTGAATCAAATAGTAAAGATATACGAAAAAACCTTTTGGAAAGTAACTTTTGGGACACACTGTACAATTAAATTGCGAAGTAACTTTCTTCATATGGTACTATCAAGAAAATATCAATCAACATAAACTGAATTACCAGCAAGAAAAACACGTCTTTTATTTGTTCACGATAGTCACAGTTTATCATAAAATTATTATTTCTTTTTCAGTAGCAAAATAAATAATTTACCATGTATTACTTGTTGAACCAGATATGATCTAGTATAATGCTTCATACATCATTGTCTTATTACATAAAATAATAATTTGGCATAATCAATGGCCTAATCAGGACATAGAAAATATAACACTATTGATAAGAATAAATATGAAACAAGTATATCTTCATGAATATTTGTTAAATCAAAATAGATCTTGAAGTTCAATATGAATAAGTGATGGAAAACGTTGAACAAGTTTTGATGCTAAATTTGAAGGAAAATATATTTTTTTTGTTATTGATTTAACCATTTTAATTTGTTTGAAAATTGGAATAAGAGATGGATTATCAATTAATTCTGATAAAACCAATAATCGACTACCAATTATCAGATTAATCACATTTGGATATGCTCTAAAATAAAATAAAAAATTCGATATTCATTCTAGAAATATAAAGCAAACTTACTGTAAAATAAATTGAATATCTTTCCATCTAGATATATCAAATGTTGATCCAAATTCTATTTGAGATACATGAGATAACTGAACAAAATATGAGAGATAAGTAACACTTTGTTGTGCAACATTATTATCATTCGTTTTACTAAAGTTAACTAAAGCAAAAAGACACATTATATAATCGAGTACATCTATATATAATGTATAATGATGAACAAATTAAAAAACATATTCTTCTTACCAATATTGGATAAACTGTTCCACAACGATGACCGTATTATTGGCATTTCTACAATCAGATATTTGATTTGTTGAAAAGGAGAAGAAGACCAAGTAATAGTTGGCATTTTCTTTGTTATGAATACTCTTAATTTTTTAATATTAGAATAAAGCAGATGATGATTATGTGGTGCTGTTGATTGTGTTGCAAACGATCCATCATAAATAACAGGAATATCTAGATATAAGTTTGCTTTGTGTTTCCGATAATTAAATGTGCATAACATAACAAATTCTTCTACAAAAGAAATATCTCTTAATATAAACAATATAATTCCTTTCTCTAATACAAAATTACAAAAGTATACCTAGTTAAAATATTCATTTGTTATCCGAATCAGATATCACTCATACTCTATGTTTTCGCTTAAAAATTACATATCAACAAAACTCAGTATAATGGTAAATACTAACTGTCACTGGGTTTTTTTAACTGTTTAAATCAGTTTTATTTACCTTGAGGCCGACAATAAAATTTCCATCGATCAATAATTATATTCCAATTAAAATATTTTTTTACAAAATATTCAAATGAATTGACAACAATATCTAAATTTAATCTTGGATACTTTTTGACAATTGACATATGAAATAAAATTTAGATAAATGTGGAACATAATGTTCTAACATTTCTTGCCACACATGACCATCAAGTAATTCACCAGGAAATGGCCACGCAGCTTTTCGTGTCACGAGAAGAAAATAAAAATACATTAGATTAGGCATACAACGTAAAATATAACCAATTGAACGGCTATCACATCTAGCGAGAATCTCTAAATCGAAAGATATAACGTGTGGTAATATAGGAAGATCATTTTCATTAATAGATGGTGTTGAAATTGAAACACTAAAGTAGAAAAACATTTTATTTTTCATCTTTTTTGTTTCGGAGATTTTTCATCTCATATAAATATATTCGTATATTTGTTAGGAGAACTTACTTGATATTATCATTTTCAATTCGATCTTCCTGTCCCACTATGATGCCTAAATATCGAATTGTTTGGCAAAGGCGAAGAATTGATAAAATTGAATAAACAGATACTGTAGAAGGTGAACCAGAAATATATAATTTAAGTGAGATCAGGTTCGAAGGCATCGGCGTATAATTTGATATATCCATGTAATGATAACGATAATTAAGTTCAATTGAATGAACAGATGATTTGTGCATTAACATAATTCGAGTTAAGTCACATTTATCGATTGTACTTATAGTATAATCATTTGGTGCGAGAATACTAAATGAAACAAGTTTATTCAGAGTCTTAATTAGTTTAATAACATTTTCAAGTTTCGTTGGCAAACTATTTGCAACCAAAAGACATGATTCAAGATTAGTAAAATTGTGTCGATGAAATAATAAATCAATAACAGATGTATAATCACGAATTTTATCATAAATTTTTATCGAAATAACTTGATGAGCATGAAATGTAAGATGAGAAGAAACAAAATCAACTTGACGACGAGAATGATTATATAAAACAACAATACGAAGTGGAATTGATTGTAATATAGACGAAATACGTTTATTTAATGAAGTAAAACCAGTAAAAATCTCAAGTGCATGTAAACAATCAAATATTTCGAAGAAAATTTCATTTGATAAATCTTCGAAATGTGTATATCTATCCATTTGTACAGGTAAGAAGAATAAATAATGATAAAAATTATGTCAGTTAGTTTAGTCGTATCTAAATGTAAAGATTGTATGAAATGGCAGAGTATTGATAGAGAATATGTTATATACTTTATGATAAACAGCCTATGAGCAGTATTGACGGGAATAAGAAAATGAAAAATGAAGTTGATTGTTGATTCGGGGTGTGTGTGGGTTTGGGTTTACTGAAAAAAGACGCACTCATAGCCACACCCACACCCATATGTAAATTTGGTCCAAAAAGGATCAAATATCAATCATTTTCTTTTTCTACAATATATATTTCATTGTTCAAAGAATATGAAGAAAACTATTTGACTGAAATCAGTCATTAAAAGAATAGATGCGAACAATTCGGTCGTTTTATCTGTCGATCATTGTTGACTCATATAAATAGTATGCATTGGTTGGCTACAGTTTCGTGAATATACACTATAAATAAAGAAGAAAATTATATTAACTGTATAAGAAATTAGAAAAAATGTTCACTTTTGTTCGTTTGTTCAAAGTTAATACATCGAATATCGATCGTAAAACTCATATATTTGTTGGAAAAAGATCAGCAATGCATTCTCAAATCCATTTAGCAATAGCTACTTGTTGTAGTATGATCATAACATTTGTGTTTCATTGCATTAAGGAATCTGTACCATTGAGCAATTCGATTTTTCAACGTTATATAATGACTTATCTTCATAATTACTATCTGCTTATACGTTGTTTGTACAATAGAGGAATAAGTATATATTCTTGTATGATCATTCTAGTATTTATCTTAATAACTATTCAGATGATGCCACATGTGCCTATTTATTCCCTGACCGAAAAAATGAAAAAGTTGTTAGCTTTCGTATTCCCTGTGACAGAATAATAACTGTCTTCTCTCGGAAGTAAATATTCCAAAGATTTAACATGTTGATTCACTTGTTCATAAAGATACTTTCGAAAATCATTTTCCGATGTCAATGCACGAGAAGTCATTGGTGCATACAATAAAATATGAATAAGTGAAAATGAATAGCCTCTTCAGTAAAAAAACAAAAACACGCAAGTGCATACTATGTTTTCTTAATGCAAGCGAAAACTAGAATTTATCTATAAATACGAGAAAACTATTTTGGTAGTTTTGCGCCTAATGAGAAGCAAATTCTGTCTAAGTTTAATTTAGCCTAAAGTTCAATTGTGCCTAGGGCACTTACCTCAAGTAGTACTGTAATAGTTGGGTTAGACTCAAGTTTGCACAAAGCTTTCTTCTATAAGATAGAGAGTCTACAAAAGATGAAAATTATCCCATCTATGTCCTTCGTTTCTCCAAAACAGTAGGTGTGATCGAGCGGAAATCTTTTTATCGATCGGTATGTGTGTTGTCGTGGGTGTAAGCTAGGGGTGGTTGTGAATGAAGAGAGAAAACACACCCACATCCACAGCCTTTGTATCGGAAGCACTTGGCTTTCGGAGTTTTCTGCTTCCTGACTGCAATGTGATTCCACTTGTTCAGAAGAATAGCCGTACGTATAAATAAAAAGCTGTAAGCGCAATCCCTTGCGGGATTAAAGATGTGAAACACGATGTATCTGTTGTTACTAATTAAATGGAAATCGTTTTGTCCCAGTTCTTTGCAATACCTTTGTAGCTAACCGTTTATCTGATACTTTAGAACTACAGTTTCTCTCTCATGGTTTGTGATGGGCTCAAAGTCTGTCTGTCACGGTCTCTGATGAGTCCAAAGCCTGCCTGTCACGGTCTCTGATGGGTGTAAAGCCTGTCTGTCACGGTCTATGATGGGTGCAAAGCCTGTGTGTCACGGTCTGTGACGGGAAAATTACCTGTCTGTGACGGGGAAATTACCTGTCTGTAACGGTCTATGAGGGGGGGGGGGGGGTCCAAAGTTTTTCCCGAAACACTTAAAAAAGCCTTTCATAAATTTT